ATGAGAATCTGTAAATCACTAAAGAAAAAAAAAATAATAAAATAAATTAAAAAATTAAAAAAGAAAATGATCACGTTTTTATGTATTTTCATGGTATTGCAAGTGAACCTGTCATTTCATAATTTTGCTTGATTACACATGCAGCTGGCACTGGCCATCTTGTCATAATATGAACTTCTATTTATTTATTTATTTATTTTCAGAGTGAATTATTTGTTGTAGTTTTGGGAATAGTTTCTTAAACTGTGGCGACTGTAGAACAGAGCAGAGTATTTATTTCATGTCATGCCAGTACTGTTAGAATATAGTTGAAATTCACCAATCAAATCATACCTTTCACCACAGTGCATAATGATAAACGTATAATTCTATTGGGATGTGACGACAACAATTTGGGATACTTTTGTTGCCATGGATATTGTGTCCTGCAGTTTATGTTTTGTGAATTGCAAGAAGCCCCTTTCCAATTAAGTCTAATCACAAACACACATTAACACATATTTGTGTTATTATTCGGTTGTATTTAAGTATTAACTGAGAATGCATAAACACAAAAAAGAAAAAAAGGAGACCAAATAAGATATACGAGCTTAAAATCGTCTTATTTCTCAGAGACCAAATGAAAAAAGTTCGCTCGATCCTAAACCTTTTAAAGAAAGCTCGCACTAGTACCAGATATGGGTTTACATATATATATATGGGTTTACATGAGAATTATGCTTAGTAAAAAAAAATGAGAATAAATCTTAGCCATCAGAACGGATAATCTAACGGCTCAAAAAAGTATCAAATTATCACACTTATTAAGGATAAATTACTCATTATACCATCTCAACCTAACTGTGGCATCCACCATAACCTCACCCCAACACTCCCTTTCTCTCATACAAAACACACACATCCTACGAATCGTACACACTGAACACACTGGCGCACACCCTACACCCATGACTCACACAACTCAGATCCGACATCACTGCACTGCTAATCGTTCCACCGGACCACCACCATCCGCCGCCGTCATTCCTGCCGCCGCCGCCATTCAACACCGTCCCCGTAATTCTCTGTGAAGTTAGGGGTGACGTCGAAGTCCGACAACCGTTCGCCGATGAACTCCGGCATTGGCTTCATCGTGCCACCTAGAATGGCAGTCTGCACCGCCGCCGGAGACGCACCAGATCCCGGTCTACAGGACGCCGACTGAGTCACTCGCATGTTCACAGTCATCTCCGGCAGTTTCGAACGGCATAAAAAATAATCTACCTTCCAATGACACCACCAACGCAGCCGCTGTCTTCATCCGAAACGATTCATGGCGGTTGGTTGATCTGCCGACATGAACAACGACGACGATCGAAAAGTTAATGAACACGAAAACTGAAGAACATGTCAAAATCGACGAACACGAAATCGAAACTAAGATTGTGAGGATGCGTCAACCTTCGAAGATAAGAAGTTCTT